TATATATATATATATATATATATATATATGCTTGTGGATACATATATATTTATTTTGGGGTATATACAGCTAACTATATAGTCATGACGGCACACATATATAAATACATATATATATATATACATATATATTGTGTATCTGATTTCTCTAAGTTATGTTTATTGGATTTGCAATGCAATCGGTAACTCTTGTCCATCCAAAATTATTATCGTCTCTTGCTTTCGGTCTGCCCTTCTCTCTTGTTTTTTGTTTTTTTTTTTTTTGTTTTTATACTCGATTTGTCAGCTACTATATAATTGCTATATTACTAAGAATTGTTTCAAACTTTTTCTTGCTTACACATTAATATACATATATAAGGTTTTAGATCATATATATATCATATTTATAAGTATGTCCATCGAATCACGTTCATTTGTTATGTGTATATATATATATCTAGAGATTGATACATATATGTGTATGTGTGTGTTTGTGTGTGTTGTTCAATTGTATTTTTTGTTTTTTGTATATCGTGGCGATCTGATCTAGTTCAAATCGAGGCATTGTTTTTTTTCTTTTTTGTTTTTTAGACAGCAGCTAGTAGAGCTGCTGCTACTATTGTTTTAGTTGTTTCGATAATATATTTAAACCGATATTATAATTCCATATCACGGGCCTCGTCCTCACTGTAGTCGGACATGCTCGACTCGCTGTCGCTGCTCTCGCGCTCCTGTTGCGCCGCTCGCAGCGCATCCTCGGTCGCATACCGCTGCACATAGTCGGCGACCTTGCGATGATATTCCTCGGGCTCGTGCAGATAGAGGGCGGCCGCATCTCGATTCAATGGATCGACTGGATTTGGATATGTGAGCAGTTGTGGCAAGAACGATTCAAATATATTCGATAGATCGTACAATGCCGTCCAGGCTTGATTGATCACATCCAGGCAAACGGTGCCCGATGATTCGTCAATATTGGGATGATAGATCTTATTGACAAATCCAATACTTGGTGATTTGAATGGATAGTTGTCGGGCAGATAGACGCGCACCTTCCAAACGCCGCCCTCGTAGGGTGTGCCAGTTGGGCCAAAGAACTTCACATGGAATTCGTTAAGGCCGCCAAGGATCGTGACCTCGTGTTTGGATTCGATTAGTTTGATGACGTCATTGTCCATGCGTCGTTTACCAGCGCTGGGAGATGACATTGTTATTCTTTTGTTGTTGTTGTTGTTGTTGTTTTAGATGTGGATTTCTATAACACTGAGGACACGGTGCGCTCGTTGTATACGCTAAGGCTGAAGCGGTGATTGTTGTTGCTATTTGTTGTTGCAGTGGTTGACGTTGATATTATTGCTAATATTGTTATTATAACTATTGCTATTTGACTGTATTGCTGCTCCCCTGGCCAAGGCACACATCAATAGAACAATAATCCGGAGTTGCGGCGATCCACCAATAGCTCCAGCTGCAGCTGTCTGCTGTCTATCTGCAAATGAAATCGAATATCAATTATCAGCGTTATTTACGTATGTATGTATGTATGTATGTATGCGCATGGGTCTGCTATCCTTATCAATGCTATCAACATGGGATTGACCATGAGAGATGATGCTGCTGCCACTGTTGCTGCTGCAGCCACATCTTTGCCCAAATGTAGGTCAACTGGGGCCAGTATGGCAAACTTGTTGGCTATCTCGCTCGCACAGCCTAAATTCAAATGAAACTATGTCAACGGCGCAGTTAGCAGCGCAGTTGCAGCACTAGAAGCAACAGCAACACCAACAACAACAGTAAACTGTGACGTCGCGCCATTTGGCTCTCCTGTCTGCCTGCCTGCCTGCTTACTTTCTCAAGCACGCACACTCGCGCACACACACACACACACACATCTACACTCTATTTACACATCATCACTTCTGTGAGAAAGGGGCTGCGGTTGGTGAGAGCGCTGCAGTTGCCATAAGCAACACCAGTACAAGGACAAGCATGCATTAACGGTACTATTTTTCTTCCTTCTTGTTTTTTTTTGCATACTTTCCAGAGCCTGAGTGAATGTGGAATGATATTGGAAGCTCTTCAATTCTACAACTGTTATTGCGTGCTCGCTAACTGTTTGCCCTTCCAATAAATACTCAACTGATTCCCGCACCCACAGCTCTTTGCAACAATTGAAACTGTTTTGCTATGATTGTTTTGTCATCTGTCTCACTCTTCCTCCTGCTTGCAGGCTATTTTGTTGATGGCGCGCCTCACTTGGTTGGGCGGGCGACTGTTGTTTCCAAACAAGCTCAGCTGTTTAATGTTATTGGCTGGCTGACAAACGGGAGCGAGCGAATGAGAATATAACAAAAAAAAAAAAGAAAAAAAAATGAACAGACAACATAAAAAAAAAAGAGAGTGAAGTGTTAGCAGCAACCCCCGTAAAGAGCATACAGTGCGCACTACCATTGTAAAACGCAACATTTGTGTTCAGTATGGCGTATGTGTATATATTCATACATATATGTCCATTTCGTATTTCTAATTTTTGTTTCTTTTCTTAAGCGCGTTGAGTCAACCAACTGCGTATGAGTAATATTTATAGAATAGCTTTCGCTATGACGATGCCATTAGTTATATATTCTATATCACCTAACAGATGCACAAAAGGTTTGCTTATCACCAATTCCGAAGTTATTAGATGGAATTTGAATATGCATATTATTTTTGATGGGATTAATGCGTCATTTACCAAATCAGATATTTGCAATTGCAAGTAATTGGCTTTTGTATTTCATTGCAGACGAATTCATCTGGTTAGAGATTTATCAATTTGTTTCTCCGTTTTCCCCAACTGCTCAAAACACAAATGTGTTCAACGGACGATTAACTGTCAACACACACTGTTCACTGGTCAACAGCTGCTCTCTTTTGGATGAGCTAATTCAATTCGTGCTCGTCTACTCTGGCTCGCCAGCTGGCCCTGTGTCGTTATTTCCGTCTCCCTTTTGCTGGTGTGATGTTTGTGTACACACTGGCTACAGTGAAGCTCATCAATTGGAAATGGCTTTTGGTCACTTTTTGCTTTGCTATTGAGTTTTGCCAAGTTTCACTGTACGGGTTTGTTGTTGATATATACACACTTATACCTAAATACTATTAGACACACAAATACATGCATACAAACATGCACACGGAGCAGGGAGAGGAGTTCACTGTTGTTATTTGCGTTAGTTTTCAGCGTTTTGTTTGTTGTTGCTGCTCTCAGCTGAGTGCTGTGCATGCATGTGTTCCTGTATACGTGTGTGAGTGCGCGGGAGAGCGCGCGTGAGCCTGTGAGTGTAAAGCCCACGCTCTCGCTCTCGCTCTCGCTCTCTCTCTCTACCTCTGGAAGATCAACAACAATAACAACAACGCAGTGTTGACTAACCAAATGACACTCAGCTGCAATTTTCGTTCAAGACAACAACAACAGCAGCCATACATATGTGCACGTTATTGTTGTTTTTATTTCTCTTTCTTCTTTTGCTTTGCTTATTGTTCGCTGTCTAATAATGTTGGCATATACATATGTACGCACGTTTGTATGTGTATACGCACACAAATACTTTTGTATATGCAGATATACATATGTATGTATGTATGTAGATATTTTTGATTATATATTAATACATTTAAAATCACGCAAAACTCAAAGCAAAGAAGAATAGCAAAGAAAGCAAATGTGGAAATGAAATGAAAATTAAATTGTTGTGTGCATGCTTTCTCTCAATATTCTGTGAACAACACACCAACAACTGATAGACACACACATACGCACGCACACTCATAAACACACGCAGCTGACTGCTTTTTTTCTTGTTGTATTGCATTTTCAGATAATTACGAAACTTTTTGAAAACAATTTCAACAAAAAACACGCACACATGTAAATAGATAACAGACTCGTGTTGTTATTTGACTCTTTCATTTGCTTCGCTTTGTCTTTTGTTTTATTTATTTATATTTTGTGGTATTGCTTTACTTTTGTTTGCTGCCGTTTTGTTGTTGTTTTGTGGTCGTATTTGTTATTGTCTGCGTTTTTTCTCTTTGTGCGCCTTTGGCCCTTGATTTGATTTTGCTCTTGTTTTGGATTTAGATAGATGTATATTTTTTGTTTTGTGTTGTCTACTTCAACTAGTTACTGAAAATTAACTGGCAACAGAGTTTGGAAGCCCCCAGCGAGCAGCGCACGAACATCTGAAAGCAGCATAAGAAGCAGCAGCAAAAGCAGAGGCAGCAGCAGCGGCTGCGGCAGAGGCAGCGACTGCGAGGGAGAGAACTCGCGCACCACAGAGCCACAGCAACAGACAGACAGGGAGAGAGAGTAGAAAAAAAGAGTGCAGATAAAACAGAGCAGCCGAGGCTAATGCGAACGTCAGAGCGAGAGCGAACGTAACGCGCTAACCTGCTAGCGAGCAGACAGAGCGGCCAAGAGAGGGAGAGCGCGTACGAGAGAGGCTCCCACAAAGCACATGTACAAAGAAAATCATACTAACAAAGCGAGAGCCAAAGCCAACCAGCAACAACAACAACAACAACGACAGCAATAACAAAACTGTGCAAACAATATTAGGCGAAAGAGCCAGTCGAAGCAGAGGAAGCAACAATAACAACAACAGCAACCAGTCCCAACAATTCTGCCAAGCAAAGAAAAGCTATAATCAAGGACAGCAGCTGTAAAGCACACACGACGCTAAATGCAACACAGACACACTCACACACACACACACTCTCATAGTTATGAAGCGCATGAGACGGTCGGACAACGCCGAAGCTTTCAATGCCCTTCATTTGCCAACAAACGTTTCGTGCTTATTCGCTATGACGCACAAGTCAGTGTGTGCCCTGGCTTTCCACTAATTCTCTGCCTCGACATACACACACACACACACCGATATCGACACCCACATATACATACATACAAAAAAAAAAAATAAAAGCCCTTCCAAAGCACAGTTCCAGTCCAGCTCAAGTATGGACTTCACATTTGAAGCTAGGCAACCCAACTGTAAAGGGAAATTGATTTAAGTGTGAAACTAACGGGGTCAAACGCATGCATGTATGTATGTACATGCATGCATATGTGTGCCTGTGCACACAGTTTTATACCAAACAAAGTTCTTCTAAGCGCACAGCAATTTGTGAATTTTCAAGAAGGTGTTTGCTCCTATACACTAACCACTCTCTTTAGAAATCTCCGCTCTCCCCTCACACATTTACTCTATCTCTTTCTCTCTTCACACTCCCCCTCTCCAGGCACATACAAAGCAGCCCTCGGGCCACACGGTCATTGACTGCGCATTAAAGTCTACCCAAGTGCATAATGAGGCAAGCGAAAATAAAGAAGGGGCGGGCAGGGAGGGGAAGGAGTGTAGAGGCATAATATGGGCTAACGGTGGGTTGGCCAATATGGGCTAAGGCCAACGACAATTAAAAAATGGTGAAGAAAAATAAAATTAAAATATGTAAATAAACAAAATGTTTGTAAAAGCTTTCAGACGCCAAAGCCTGCACACATACACTTGTACATGCACACATACACCAGTGTGTGTGCATGTTTCTGCGCATGTATTGGTGTGTGTAACATTTCCGTTGCTGCTGATAAGATTTAAAACGCAAAAGCAAAGGCAAATGAAAAGAAATCATAAACACAACGCAATAAGCATGCGAAAAGCAAAGTGCGTAGTAGAAGGAGAGCAGACAAAAACAAGAAAACATAGACAGACACACACACTCATGCATACAAACATACATAATGTAAATAAGCAACCGAAGAGAAATGACACTTTCTGTATACAGCTTTTAATAACAATTATGGCTGTAATCAAATTGCTCGCAAAGAATTCGCAGCAGCATATCAGAAACCTGAAGCCGAATGTCTGACTCTGCAGCTCTATAAGTCAGTTTTAATTTAACATTATCTCTAGCCTCTGAATAATTATCGAAATCCGAGTAGGCACAATAAAGATAATAGCAAGGATACACATACACGCATACATACACACTCTTTGAACTGTAGGCCCAACATGTCGACTGATGGGACTGCAATTATTGAGTATAGAAACGCCAAAAGCAACAAAATAAAGGAAAAAGCGAAAATAACAAATGCTAAATCAAATTGCAACGGCTATTTTGGCGTTGTGCTAAACACACTTGGAGCAAGCGAGCGAGAGAGACAGAATGATATATATACATAGTTAAAGAGCGCGAGTGGAGAGCAACACAGTCAGAAGGCACAACAAAATTGCAAGGGCTGCCTACACACACACACAAATATATATATGTATGCATTTATATGCACATATACTTGTGAACAATGTGCATACGTAAGAGCAATATTGGGCGTACGATGACCAAACTTTTGAAGACAGTAGGCAGGCAGCTCACCAATAGTAACAATTACAGTTAGAATTTGTCACAAAGGAGCGCAGCGATCTCTGCAACCTTTAACGGCTGTTTTCCCAATTAATGTATGTTGTTGAAGTCTGTGTGTGGCACCCCAAACAGCACATACTCACGCACCCAGACACAAAGACGTACATATATTATATTTAATTGCACGACCTTTAGTTAATAAATAGTTACATTTCGTTTGGCCATGAGGGGGATACCTTTTATTATGATTTCTCCGTTTTTATTGTTGTGTTGTTCGTGTGGCTGGCGCCGCCTTTGATTTTTACGCTTCGATACGTCTCCACATTGTTTTATGCACCAAACGCCTATGCATTTTCTTATGGTTGCTGTTGGTTTTTTCGGTTATTTATTCGACAGCGACAACTGTTTAATTATTATCTAATTATCTATTAAATTCACTGCGTTTGCTATCGCTCCATCCGTTTTCTTTCAGTTTCTCCCGTTTCTGGTTAGCTGGCTGTCGCCTTCGGCTTTCCAGCTGTTATGCTCTACTCGAACTGTAAATATTAATCGATACGAAAGTGATATTCGATAGCTGTTAAATTTCAAATTAGCCCAACTAAAAATCGTCCCTGCTGGCAAAACTGGTACGCAGCTCACAACATATGTTTGAAATAAACAGATGAATAAACGCAGAGATTTCTTAGTATGAGTTAAGTGGTACATTCTCTTTCGCCAGAACACATTTATTGATGTTTTAATTAATTTATAGTATGGTTATCGCACCGTTAGGCGACTTACCAACATACGTTATTTGAACTGGGAGCAGCTCTGTTAAGTGCATGACATATTGGCTATGTGGCAACGCTCTCATTGCACTGGCAACGCTGCCGATATGTGCAAGTCGTATATACACAAAGAAAATTGATAAAACAGTCAAACATAAATTTGAATTGAAAATCATGAACTTTACGTCAAACAATTGCTAATGCACACCAAACACATATCAAGGCTAGCACCAAGCACAAAATCTAAATTCACACATTGCACGCACACTCAGCAATCGCCTGCAAAATGGTAAGTCTCCGTCCGCTAAGGCCAACCACTCCGATGAAAGTACCCCACCAAAAAAGAAAAAAAAGTATTTGCGAAAAAAGTAGTAAAAAAAAAACGCATTTGAAAAAATATGCAAGAAACAATGTAAAAAATTAGACCAAAGAATGAATAAAATGGGGAAAATTCAACGGATTGGCTGTCCTCAATGTGCAATACATAATAGGCGCGATACTAATGCAATGCGTCATCCGTGCAGCATGCCGCATCGATGACGTCGGTGGAGGTGCTGCTTAATGAGTTCTACCAGCCGACGACGAGCAATGCCCGCAAGCGCGAGATCGAGACCAATTTGCTGGCATTCAAGTCACAGCCGGAGGCCTGGCAGCTGTGCCTGCGCGTTGCGACCGCCACCAATAGTTTTACAGAGAATCAATTCCTTTGGTTCTTCAGCACCTCGACGCTGGAGCACACGATAACGCGTCGCTGGACACAACTAACGGCGGCGGATCGCACACTATTGAGGGAGACCCTCTGGCAGCACTATGCCCAGCTTATGGTGCTCAACGGCGCACGCCGGCATCGCGATACGCTCGCCCAACTGATTGCGCTGCTTGGCAAAAGGGAATTCCCCGAACAGGATCCGAACTATATGCAACACTGCATGGAGCTAACCAAGACACGATTCAGTCTTGGCATCAATCTGTTGCGCGTCACCTCCGAGGAGGTGGTCAGCAATCGCGGCGACCTCACCAGCGAATGGAAGCAATACTTTCACTCGTGGTAAGCCCCACAGCTCTATAAATACTGTGCTCAAATTTTGCATGTGACTCAATAACTGTTGAACGTTTCCCCCTCTCTCTTTGTGTGGTGGCCTATCCCATGCTCGCTCTGTGCAGCATTTCCATGTGTATACCCGATGTTTTGGACCTGCTCACCAAATATCTGTTAATCGCCGTTTGTTACATCAATGGCAAAGACATTCATACGACCATACCAAGCACATTCATGGACTACAGTCTGACTGCAGCGCTGCCAAATGATAATCAACTAAGGTATGTTCAATATGTGATTAGCAACTAATTAAGGATCCTGCCGCCATTTCAATTCGATCTGTTATCCTTAAGAGAAGACTTTTCTGCAGCAATTAATGTCGGTGTACTTCTATATCAATTCAGCTATAAAGAGCTTTACGTTATTGATAACTCAGGTATCGCTGGTTTTTAAACGATTTGCCATAGATTTGAGCTCAAAAATATTCGCAAATAAGCTTAGGTTTATATGAATCTTTCTAAGAATTTCTCCTTCAAAAGTTATCGATAAGCAACAGGTGTCTAGCTCACCCAAAGCTATCGATTGAGTGTATTAAGTAATATTTCATACAATATTTGGTTTAAAATTGACTTTAATAATTATATTAGTAGATCTCTTGCTTCTCATTTAGTAAGCTAATTTCTAGGGAGTTACACAAAGCTATCGATAACCCACGATTATCCCTCAAAGCTAACCCGAAATCCTTATATAAAAGAGTTCAGACTATGAATAGAAAATAATAATGTATAATAATAATATAATAATATAGATAATAGAAAATCTATGATTTTACGCAAAAATATAACGAAGGCCACATTCTGTGACAATAGATATGAATAGCTAAGATATCTAATGAAATGAAGATGTGTTTGGCAAGCCAATAAGCTTTTGAAAGGCAACAATCGGAAGATAGATAATAAGCTTAAGGAATGCCCCTAAGGCAATCACAATATTTTACACCCAACAACTCAAAGGAATACCCCTATTTGAAATACCATCAATAATATCCTGTGCCATCTTTTGTTTGGTTCTTGCAGTTCCTCAGTGCTGGAGCTGCTGAGCTGTGTGCAGCATTTGGTCTCCTGGATACGCACCGATCTGATCTCTGAATACTTCCTAATGAGCATAATCGATCTATCGCAGTGGCGCCAGGCGAATGAGAACATCTCGCTGGGCGCACTCTCAGTGCTGAATGAGCTGCTCTATCTGCAGAAGCCGCTGCCCTTCGCGTTCACCCTAATGAACGGAGTCAGCGGTCTGCTGGAGCAGCACAATAGCGTCAAGCATCAGAGCGAAATGTATAGCGATAAGTTCCGTGAACTGTTGCGTCTGTATAGCACCAAATATGCGGGCAAAATGATGCAGGAACCGGAAATGCTTGACTCATTTCTCGATCAGCTCTATCGGTGCACCACCAAATGTGAGTGAATATCAAACACGCCCATGCCCACGCCCACGCCCACGCCCACTCTGTCTCTCCTGATTAGCTTCTTATTTGTACTTTCTCTTTTGTCTGCTTTGACAGTGCATGGCGCTCTGGACTTTACCGAAAAACTGGACATCTGGACGCCCATCATCAAGGGCATTGCCGAGCAGCCAACGCAATTGAGTGCTCATCATGGCGAGATTATGACGAAGCTAGTCGATGAGATAATGCGGCGTACACAGTTCGAAATCAATAAGACCGAACTGGAGCTACTCGACAATGAGCTAATGGAGGATGATGTGCGTAATTAATGCAATTATATAGAGTATATATATATACAGGAGAGATGCAGCTAGGAGAGATTTAGTTGAGAGTCAATAGCTTCAATGAGCAATAGTGTGAGAGGTCAAGCAACAATTGTGCATTGTGTATGAACCACAATTTTGAACTGTTATATATATAGTATAGTATAGTATAGTATGGTATATATAAGGGCTACATATATATAGCTCTATATATTTGCTCATTGCTTACTCAAATCTGAGTCATGTAATTCGCAATAGTGAGTAAAGTCTTATACTGTTTACGAAGTGGTTTACGATTGAGGTTAGATCAACAGATTTAGAATCTAGTTTTAAATGGAAATAGAATTTTATATCATAAGAGGCAAAGCTTTCAAATAGGAATAGATAGTGTTCTACGTAATATATGGAGTTTATTTTCAATCCAATTTCATGTAGCTCACAACTTTCTAGTAACTCGTGAACTATTTTTGAGCCAGTCAAGAAAAATCTTATAGATTCCAATTGAAATTCAGTTATTAGAGCCTGGAAATATAAAATTCCATCATCTTACCGCAAAATAGGCTTAGCTATAAGCAACATTTCCTGTATATGAAATTCAAATACTTAAATGTATATCGATCAATAGTAATCGATAGCTTATTCCCCCATTAGTTAAGCAACATAGTCTAAAATTTCTTGAAATAGATAGATAATGCCTAAATCTATCTCTTTAGTTCATGACTCAAATAAGCTTTTGAAGCGCTTTTATCGATTATGTGTCTTAAGCGGTACATTTCGATATCAAGTTATCGAAAACTCGTTAGCTGAAGAAGCGTTAGATTGAACCTTTCACAGACGCGACTCACTTGTAAATATGTTTAGATTCAAGCCTTTATCGATATACATTAATCGATTAATTGATTCATTTTGCCTTCGCAGACGCCCACAACGGAATGGCAACAGTTTCTGGACCAGTGCTTCGAGTGCCTGGCCCTGTTGGCGACAACACGCGGCGCCCACATCGTCTTCGCTCAGGTCTTCGCCCACTGGTCACGCCCACAGACGTATCTGCTGTCGCTGGAGCTGGCGCTGGATCATGGCAGCGGCCGGTGCTACGAGGCGGCACGCAAACTGAAGCTCGCCAATGTGGGTGAGATATTGAGAGACTTTGCCACCGTTTGCCAGGCGGTGGTGCGATTGGCTCCACTAATGGACACGGCCCAGGCGCCCGCGGATGTTGTCGACGAGATGGAGCGGCAGTTGCAGGTGCTCTCCGAGCGTTTGCTGCAGACGCTGCAGCTGCTGGCGAGCAATCGAGTCGGCGGCAGCGACTCGGAGAAGGCGAGCTTTCAAATGGACTTGGATAATCTGTAGGTTAGCCAGAGACGGTCCAATGGAATACCAAATCTAATATATATACCCGTACCTTTGATATTCCGCTAGCTATGCACAAGTTCTACTGGCCATACGCAGCATCTTTCCGATGTCCAAGTCCCTGAACAGCGAGCAGCTGCTGCATCGCTTGTTTGCCATATTGGGCAGCATATTTGCGGGGAACGCCTCGCCGTCGGCTGCCTCGCCCATTGTGCAGCAGGCGGCGAGCGAGGTGCTGCTCTTCATAGCGACTGTGATACGACCCAAATGTCTATTGGATATACCCGAGATCCAGAGTCTAATGCAGGCGGGGCCGCGGCTCGGCGGCCAGCTGCCACGCCAGGTGTGCATCAATGTGCACATCAGTCTGGTCAGCTACATGGTGATGCCGTGGAAGAACGTGCCCGAACAGCAGCAGGACTATCCGCGTCGCCAATGGATGCTGCGCGAGTACATCGGTGCCCTATCCAGGAATTTCCAGGAACTCGATCTACCGGCTGCCGGCGAGAGCAAAGTGGCGGCCACCACGCTCAGCCTGTTGGGCACATTCACGGCGCTCATCGACTACTTCAAGGCGACGGGTGCAACGGCCAAGGACA